TAGTCCACATCACCTTCACTCTCTATTACAAACTTTCTTTCTCCAAGTCACTCGTACTCTCAGAAGACCAAATTTGGGTTCAGCTTTGACACTGTATCCGTAGGTGACCTCTGGCTTCCTAATTTGATTCCTCATCTATAAAATAAGAATTCCTGCCCTTGCCAACTTCTCAAGATATCTATGTAAATCCAGTAAAATTTGAGAGTGTGATGTGAAGTATAATACTGGTTAGATGTCAGAAATTATATAGAATTACTATATAAAGACATGCTTCCTCAACATAATAAAACACTCTAAATGTCTGGAATTCACTAACCAATAGAAATAATTTTCTTATTAAAATATAGGGCTGTTACTTTATATTCTGGCAAACAAAGCCATTTTTTTAAACCCACCATCTACTATCACCATTATTTCATTAATGGGAGAGCACTTTAACACCAAAAGGATAGAAATAGTTATCTCCAAATAAATTTCTATACGAAAAACTCATGTTTCCTATGTAGTCTTTCTCTCCTTCCACCTTGGATGGATGAAAACTTTATCATGGGCTGGCAAAATCCTTGGCTCAATGTTTAGGAATCACTGCTCTAAACCCTGTTGTGATACGTATAGGTTCTACAGGGTTCTGACTGTCTGGGAAGGTTGCCAAAGGTTCCACCAGCATGAAAACCTGTTTGGCACCAGAGAGAAGCAATGAAAACATACCATGGGACAGAACAGTGGTTGGTTCTGATGCTGGAAATCTGGAGCAGAATGGGAACTTGGGCTGCCCCCAATTCTCAGAGAAGGGTCTAGACAGGAAAGGCCTCGCTCCTCCTCATGTTGGGGAAGGTGTGTAGCCTTTGTGGTAGACCGTCAGCACAGAGGGAAATTTATTGGTGTGAAAGTGACTATTATCACTGAGTGGCAACCCAGCTTTCCAGAACTTTCAAATTTTTCATGTGCATGTGAGATAGGAAACCTGTAAAATGCTAATAAAGTGAAACCAATAACCAGTTGCGGAGGAAAGAACAAATTGCAAAGGTACAGAAGAAAATTGGGGGGGAAAGGGAGTAGAAGAAATGTTCAGTATCTTGGAAGTGGTGATGATTTCACAGATGTAAACATGTCAAAATGCATCACACATGTACATTTTAAATATGAGCAGTCTACTGTACCTAAAATTTACCTCAATAGTTTTTGATTTCATTTACCTGTAAGAATATGAGAGCAAAAGCTTCCTGATTGGGAGCCTAAATATAGTGCCGTATGCAACAAACCATGTGATTCCCATGAAAGTAGAATCAGTGACCAAACTTGGTTAATCCAATCTATATGACAACCACCAAAGCCCCATTGCTCAGCACAGGTGAGGAGCAGCGCAGGAGTAAGGTTGTCCAGAAGCAGGTGGAGAGAAAATATAGGCAAAAATAGCCCCAAAGAATTCCATGAGAGGGACCATCTTCAAGTTTGCAGTCCCAAGGAGGAACCGGAGGGAACGGGTCCCAGTGATTACCCTGTTGAAGACTAAGACTAAAAAAAAAAAAAATTAAATTAAAAAAACAAACGATTTCATAGCTACTATCAACCCATGATGCCTTTTTTTTTTTTTCTCCGAAATGTGTAGGGCCCACGGGAGCAGAAGTGCCAGGTGCACAGCACTTAGACCTCAGCTGTCCTACTCATCCTACTCAGGCTGGAACTACCGCTCTCACTGGCCAGGACAGTCCACTGCAGCAGCCTCCGAACCAAGCTCCCACCCTTATCCAAACCTTGCCACCCTCAGCCCTTCCTCCCGTGCCCCGCCCTCAGCTCCCGCCCCAAATCACTGCCAGCCCACCTTCGCCCTTGCCTCTCCCCCTCCCCGCACCGGCCTGACTCCCACACTCGGGTCCTGGGGCGGCCCTTACCCCTGCCCGCAGGAGCCCCCGCCCCTCCGGTTCACTAGTCCCTTCCACCTGGCCCTTCGGAAGGCGCCGCAGCCCCTCCTCCGGGCCAGCTCCTCACCTGCGCACACACCCCTATCTAACCCGGCTCCCCACCTGAGACACTCACACCCGGCCGCTCGCCACACGCCAGCCCTCGCCCTGTCCCTTCACCACCCCTACAGTCACCAAACCCGGGGGCGGGATGGCCAGTGCCTCGTCCCCTCGCGCGCTCTCCGGGCCCTCCCACCCCTACTTACCGTTCACGCACGGAACCCGGACCTTGACCAGGCCCGACCGCCGTGGAACCGCTAGGTGAGTTCAGGCCGCCGCCATCGCTCTAGCGGCGCACCAGCCGCGCCCCGCCCCGCGCCCCACGCAATCCGCGCCCCCGCGCACCACACGTCACCGCCCAGAGACGCACGACTGGGCAGTGGCGTGCCAGCTCATTGGCTAGACCGGGCCTGAGCCAGAGCGTCGCTGCCCGTTTTCCCGGCAACGGCCGAGCGCCGGGGGCGGGGCCACCACGGCCTTCCGATCGAGAAGTGCCGCCTCTTCCCCCCCGATCCCGCCCCTTCATACTGTACACCCCGCCCCTCAGGAGGACTCCGGCATGTCACTGGGGAAGACTCCGGGGAGGCGGAGGCCCACGGGCGAGGGGCGGAGACTGGAGGGTGCGGGGGAAGGTCGATCGCTGGACCGAAGGCGGGACTGACTTTAAGAGCCCGGAAAAGACCTGAGAGCGGGGGGTTAGGAGGGAGATGGGCTGTAAGAGACGAGCACGGAAGGGACTGGACCCCGGGTCCTGGGCGGGGCTTGGAGTGGAAGAGTGGGCGTGGAAGGGGCGGGGCGAGCACGAAAGGGCAGGTCTCGGGGGGAGTGTCAGTGGGTGGGCGGGGCCTGTGGGAAGCGGTGCCCTGGAAGGAGCTGACTGCTAACAGTCCAGGGTTGTTTTTGCTCCGACTGTGCACACGGCTTGGACAGTACCTGGGCGATGACCGCTCCTCTGGGCTGCTCAGCACTTTGCTGCCCCGTGACCCCTTGCGCCCTGTCTTACTCAGTCACTCAGGAACACGGAATAAGCGCCTCCTTGTCAAGGCGGGATTCCAGATCAATTAGAACCGGCCTCTGTCCTCCAGGACCTCAGTCCTTTAATGAGACGATTGCAGCATAGAATAATAAGTGTCATGGAAGAACAGCTCTTAGCATGGAGATTTGTGGGTATAGAGGGGGAGGGGAAAGAAGAGCTCAGGAGGAGATAGTGTCTGAGCAAGCTTGTGAAACAAGCAAGAGTAAGATAATCTAAGAGATACGGACGTTTCAGATAAGGTCTGCAGTTTAGCTGAAAGTATCGTATCAATGTTAATTCCTTGGTTTTGAACATTGTCCTCTGGTTATATAAGATGATAACAGATATGTGGGTAAGAAGTTTACAAGAACTTTCTGTACTTTTATAACTTTTCTGTAAGCCTAAAAATAGTTGAAAATAAAAAGTATTTTAAAAGAAGTGGAAGTTTCAGTTCAAAGGCACATACCAAGGCAAGGAGGAATGAGCAACATGTCAGGGGTTGAAAGGCCAGAGATGGGGATTATAAGAGAAAAAGCAGATGGGAGGGGATAATTAGCTCAGATATAGACCCCGTGGGCTGCAGATGACTATGGACTGGGCTATCCAAGTAGGGACATACAGTGAGCACTTACTGGCATTGATAGGTCTGCAGCTAAGAGAGAGTTCTTAGAAGTCATTAAATGGGAAAGGAAATCCTGTGGGTGACCAAGATTGGCCAGAGTGAGTTGGGAAGAGGAAAGGCCTCAGACAGAGTCCTAAAAACACCGACACAAGGAATAGGCAGAGAGGCTTATGGAAGAGACTAAGAAGAAATAAACAAAACCAAGAACTATGGTGTCACAGAAGCCATGGGAAAAGAAGATTTCAAAAAACTAAAATGAAGTGTTGAAGGCTGTTAGATGTTTTCTACAAGAAACGCTCCAAAACCACAAATCTGATCACATCACTTAACTGTGAAGAACACTTCACAGGTTCCCCATTGCCTTTAGATAAAACCCTAGGTTTATAATATGGCTGACAAAGCTCTTCCTGAGCCATCCTTCGTTTGCCATTCAGCCTCATCTCATACTACTAGCCCCTCAAGTTCTCTTCAAAAAACAATTGCTGTCCCCCAGTCACCCATGATTTTGAAGTCTCTATGCCTTTTCACACACTATGCACTTTGCCTCTAGTGCTCTTCACTCTCCCACCTCTATACCTAACTCCTGTTCATTCTGCAACACCCAGGCTCAGTTGGGAACCTTCCCATGTACTGCAACAGCCCTCTGAGTACCCACCTAATAGAGTACCCATCACATAGGTAGATGTGTAATTACCTATCTATCCAACTATTTCCTCTACCAGACTATGAGTTTCTAGAGGCCAAGGATTGTTTCTCATTCGCCATTTATCCCCAATACTTAGTATAATGTTGGTCTGGCACATAGCAGGTATTCTCATTATGACTTGTTGACTGAAAAATATGATAGTAGTAAAAGGGACATCAATTTGAAGAAGTAGTTTTAGGTTTTTTGTTTGCTTTGGCATGAGAGATTAAAGCATATTCACAGAAAGGAAAACGAAAGAGTTGGAGCATCTAGAAAACACATCTAATAGCTGGTGGGATCAGGTACTAGAGGTAACAAGAAAGGAATGGTGCAAAAAACACCTCAGGATGGCCCCTATCACCCTCATCCAGCAGGAATTAGGAAGGTGGAGGTGGTTGTAAGATAGGGTACAGATAATGAAAACAGAGCTCACATCTGATATGATAGGTGTTTGTCCCTGGAGACTAGTTCAGCACCTGACACAAATGATCCACTGGATAAATAGTGTTAAATGAATAAATAATGAGTCCCAAGCAGGGAACTGCACAAAGTAAAA